TTGTGCTGATTTTGCTAAATTGAGAAGTAGCGTTAGTAGAAGTATTAGTAGCAGTTTCATGGTGCATGGTCGATTGGTGGAAGTGACTAATGAGCTGTCACCAACCCGCTTGAGGAGGCGGACGAGGAATCAAAGCTGCAAACCATTCGAGGGCATTTCGGTGGAATCGAGAAGAGACGAGTGTCTCGTGAATGTCGCGGCTCGAACGGCGACTGGACTCGACCACTCTTGCCGCAAGTCTGAGTCACTCACGACGTCCCTTCGCGGGGGATGCCCACAAAAATCTCAGACTTGGCGTCTTTTCAGAAGTCTCCTCGACGGTTGCCTTCCGCCGAGCGGGTTCTATGCGATGGCACCTCTTTTGCTGGGTCTCTTCAGAATGCCCATTTCACACGCCTCAACCACCCCAGCAACGGAATCCCCTCCCCCGATCCCATCCCAACGAGGCCGCCTTCGCGTGGTACAGACGTCCTCTCCGAGGCCTCCCCCTCCCTTTGACGACTCTGCCTCTACTTGCAGCCATGACAACGGCGCACTCTTCGACTCTGCTACATGTATTAATGTCTGTCTGTGTGTGTGTGTGTGTGTGTGTGTGGGTGTGTACTGGGTGAACATTGTCTCCGACGGGGTATCTGAGCTACAGATGGGTCGAAAGGTGTGTGACATGGCAACGTCTGTCCGTCTTCGCCTTAGCCCGCACCCCAACACTGGCATGGCGACGCAATTGTTGTACGTCGGGTTGAAAAGCAACATGGGCACGTCTTTCAGCCTCAAGTATGTCACAGCTCGTCTCGTCAGTTCCACCGTCGCTCCTGCTCCTCTCGCCTCGGCTCGACACAAGCCGACAATTGGGCCGGTCAGAAGGAGTTGAGGATACCTCCTCGACGAAGAGTTGTAGAGGCTGGTCACTGAAATGAGGCCCAAGCGAGGCCGGAATTGTGCTCGAGTCCGCGCAAGACAGCCTCTTCTGGGAGGAGACGCAAAGACGATTTCAGCCCAACAGTCTCGTCTCATCGTGGCCCCACTTGACCTACTCGAAGTGAGTCTTAGCAACTCGGCTTGCTCGTCAATCTCTGCCCCAACAACTGTGAAAGCCGTCTTTTGGGTTGACGAGAATATGCAGCTTCGTCTCATAAAATGCATGTACAGAAAGATCCTTTTCCCACCAATCACATGCTCGCATCTGCTTCACAATCGCTTTCCCGCCATTCTCCTCTTTCTCCTCACTCCGTCTAGAAGCGGCCATTCACGCCGGACAACCAAAAGGTAATCGCTTCTTCTCAACTCTACAATTGCTTTCGTCGTAGACACAAAGTCCACGATGCTGTGCCGTGTAAGCCTGGCTTGATCTCGTCTTCTCAACTGGATCGTGTTGTCATAGCAACGGGGGGATGAAGACGCCTTGTTCGGGGTATTCTGCCGCAGGCAAGTTGGTACATTTTGCAGACATTTTGCCGGCCTAAATGAGTCTTGCTCGTTTTACCGCCCAGCTACTGTCCGTTTCAGACTGGTCTCCTTGACGAGTTGTTATGATATTGCAAGATTCAGTGAGGCTGCAGGCGAGACGTCAGCGAATGCAGCAAGAACACGGTCAAATGTGGCTAATTATTGTGCACAGTTTGGAAGAGGACTGTGCACAAGCCTCTTTCGTCCCAACTCCGCTCGGCAGCACGATCACTTTGCAAAAACGAGCTCAAACCACTTGCACAACTGGCTTCTTTTTGCTATTTGTTCATGCACTTACATCCACTTCTACCCTTTTTCAACTGACTAATATACACAATCATTTATTTGCAGTAATTGAATGGGATAAATTGCATCCACCAGGTAAGCGGTGCTCGATTAGCTTTTCTGTTTTCACAATAAAATGTTTTTTCTGTAGTTCTGTGGGATACACACTAGCCTTGCTAGTTTTATAACTCGCCATTTAACTTGGTTTTCTTATCTTGACGCAAAACCTTAACTATTTTTTTACAAGCATTAATGAACCCAGTAAAAAAAGAAAAGTTTTTGGCACAATTAGTAGTGAATACACATCTAAGTCTGCCTCTTGCTTCTCGTTCACTTCTTCGTCTTCATGCTACAACAACAAGCAATAATAATTAAAAAATAACAACAACAACAACAATAATAATCATAATCATAATCATCATCAGAATCATCATAATGATAAACTTCATCGGTATCCTCAGCATCATCTCATCATTCCCATACGATATTCGAATCATAGACGCGCAATCTCAGGCTAAAAGGGTAAAAACATAACCATCTAGGCCTAATGAGCCATTATGACACCCGCAGGAATGACTTTTAATGTAACATGGGCCACTTTTAACCCAGCTCTGCCTAAAAGAATTTTAAATACACACACATCAGATTATTTGCCAATCACCATGACGCATTACTAAAAAGAATGTAAATAGTCTGTATGTCTCAGCCATCGAAAGTCAATTCAACTTCTTAAAACAACACAAAACACGGCCTCTTAAAGAGATGATGCCAATTTACGAATTTATTCAACCCGCCTTCTCAAATGAAATGAAAGTTATGTCAATATCAACTAGCTGTTAGGACCTTTAAATCTCATTCTAGGTCGACTAAGGTTCTTTTAAAGACTGAATATTAAAGTCCCCACGGCAAAAGACTAGGCCCCAATTAATCTTATAAAAGAGCCTTAGTCAGCCTTGGTGTCTTGAGTTAAATGAGGATAAATAATTAATTTTGCAACAGCCAGAAGAGTTAGCCTCGTGAGAATATCGAAGCTTACTTAACCTTGCCCGCCTGAAGTAATTATTGCTCATGTCGAAGTGATTTTATCGTGGTGAAGTTCAACTATCAGTCCTTCATCAATTTAAGCTCTGAATAAAACTCTTATTCGTGATCTACTCATAGCCTTGAGATCCCAATCCATCCGAATACCAATTAATGTTGCTTTCTTATCAGAAGTGATCTGCTATTTCCTCCTCGCGGGGCCCGAAGTCGGGTCTTTTGCGTCAAGTGACAACGTTCCCCCCCCTCTCTCATATAGCCATGAATGGTTGTCAGGGGTTCTCAGGGCATATGCGACCTGCAAGGTGGGCCAAGTTTCATCAAAATCACATTTATTATAGGGGGAATTTCGGTAAGGCAAAATGCATTTTCTGCTACCGTTTATGACACTACTTATATTCGATTGACTGTTAGTAACTCTCTCCCAAAATTAATTCCTGCTGGCCGGATTATAAAAGCCGGTCGTCAGGATGGTTTTTGAAAACAAGCTTGACTATAATTTCTGCACTGCTTTTAACTGAATCCACATAATTCTAGTCTTTTTACATATAATTTCACTATAGCTTGTTGGTGTTATAGCATTACAAGGCTAATGGGATACAATATATTATTTCCCTTTCCTTCTCCACCACACGCACCCACACACCCACACACCCATGCACACACACTCGCATTCACTTGGTCATGACAGTCTATAGTCATAGCTTCTGCTAAATTTGGCCATAAATGATATAATTCTTGAAAGACAATGTGTTGCATCACTTGACAACTCATTCACAAGTCTTTGTGTTTTTGGTCACTAAGCTAGAATGATTATCCAAACTTTTCCAACAAGACGGTCAAGATACAGTAGACACACACGCACACACCTAAAGAGTACACATTAATTTGCATAAAATTCACCTTAATTCGCATAATTCTGAGCTCATATTTGTCACGTTGAATTGTCATTTTCCGATAGCCTTTTTGAAGAGTTTCTGCTGGGGTCTCGTCATCCTACTTACGAATCTTTACCTTGGACTTACTCTGTTATGGTTGATAAGATAGAAGGCATGCTGCAGCAACGAAGCCCGAACCAGTCTGGCTTACTTCGCTTGTCAACTATTTCACATTTTTTCTTCTACATTGTACCCCTTGCCTGAAGACGGCCTATATGCATAGGTAATCTAATAAATATATTCTTGATGTAGCGTTTTTTCGCCATTGTTCACTTGGGCCATCCTGTCATAAAGTCACATTCTACCGCATTCTTCATTTGGCAGAAGACACTTAGCCGACGTGGTAAGGCATGAATGAAAGCCAAAACTTCTCGCACCTTCAAAATTTACCACCAACTGATTTTCGGTATGAACGGGTC